ATCCATCCATCCATCCATCCATCCTCTTTGCTTGGCCCAGCAGTAAACCTTTCTCTGCTCCAGACTCCAACATTTTGGTGTATTTTGGCCTCACTTGCATCGGGCATATGAACTTGCAGTAACAGTTGGGGGCAGAGCTGGATGAGGGATTCTGTCTTGAGGCCTTCCATGGTACCCAGTGGAGGGCTCTGCCCACAGTAGGCCCCTGGTAGGGATGTTTTGAATGATTAAATACATGCCTGTGTCAAAAGAATAGAGATGATAACAACACAACACATTTAACAGTGGAGGTTCTACAAATAGGTCTGTTTTGTTTTATATGACTGGTTTTAATTTTTTAAATTGAAATATAGTTGATTTACAACATTGTGTTTGTTTCAGGTTTATAGCAAAGTGATTCAGATTCTTTTCCATCATAGATTATTACAGGATATTGAATATAGTTCCCTGTGCTATACAGGTTCCTTGTTGTTTTTTAAATTTTATCTATAGTCGTTAGTGTATCTGTTAATCACATACTCCTAACTTATCCCTCGTCCCTTCCCCTTTGGTAACCGTTAGTCTGTTTTCTATGTATGACTAATTTTAAAACCCCCAAATATCATTTGAGAAGATGAGTAACTATCAAGGAAGATAGTCCTTCACCCCACAGCAATGCACTTCCGGAAGGTGGTAAAACACCAAGCTGACCGTCTCTTAGCTCTGCCTTCAGCATGATGAACCCAAGAGTCCACGAGCATAGATGTGCACGTGAACAGGTGTGTGTGTGCTCCATATTGCTGCAGATAAAAATAGCTCATGCGCTTGGAAGAACAATTGTCTTTAATTCTAGGAATTTGCAAAAAACACTTGTAGCCAAGAACAGAATCTCGGTTTTGAAGATAATCATCCCCTGCCCCCCACCTCTACAGATATTTTAAATAGTAACATGAGGGAGAGAACACACAGAGGCAGTGCCTCAGACCCAAGTCCTGAGACCTTGGGAATCCACTCTTTCTCCCCTTCTCCCCCTTTCTCCTCTCTCCTGGGACTCCCAGCGAGCTACGATTGAATCTGTAAGATTGCCAGGTTCTAAAAAAAACAAGGAACCTGGCTATCAGGTTAAGCTATGCAAGAGATATCTGTACTCTCTATTTTGTGTGTAAAGCAAGGTAGGAAATATTTTTGTTTGTCAGAAACCTGGCAAGAAGAAAGCTAGTTGGGTGATGCAGGTTCCAACTGCGTGGGTAACCTGTTTAGCCGGGACCAGATGGTTCAGAGGGTGGGTAGTGAGATCTAAAGTACTCTCTATCTAGGTCAGCGTTGAATCCAGCCTAGGTCACTAATAACAGAGACTTGTTTGCCAGATGTGTGTTCAGGGGCTGAGAGAAATGAGAGGGTGTTCTGAGATACAGACATATCTGAATCTGAGTCTGATTCGTCTTCTTTCGGGGTAGGGTTTAGTCCTGACTTCTTGGATGGAGCTGTCACTGAAGGAAATCTTTCTGTATAAGGTGGATCTCTGCACCAGTGGTTCTTTCTCCAAAGATTACAGAGTGTAATTGACTTTCCAGGACTTTAAAGAAAACATAGTGTCTAGAGTAAACTAAAACATACGAAATTTTTTCATACATGGGAGATGAGTATCAATTATTATAACTTTTTTATGGATAAATTGGACCGTATATCAAAAAACACTTTCAATTTGCAAAGCATTTGCCCAGCATTCCACTTTAAGGAGTTTATTCTAAGGAAGTAATCAAGGATGTGCCTTAAGATCTTAGTAATATTTTTTCAAAAAATAGAGCAATGAACTAATCTTATTGCACAACAATAGGGCTTTTTTTTTTTAATGATGGTACAATAGAATACCTTCAGCCATTCAAAACAATATTGTAGATATATTTATTGACACAGAAAGATGTCTGTGACACATTGCTAAGTGGTAAGAAGCTGGTTATAAAATAAGTCTGACCCCACTTTTGCTTTTCAAAAGCTTTTTACACGCCTATGCATACACATACATACGTGTTTATGTGCCTCGAAAAATATATGGAAAGTTTGTCACAGTTATTTCTGGGTGATAGAGTAACAGGCAATTTTTCTTTCCTTTTTGGTTTCTCTATTTTCTACATAACAAGCAAGCATTTATTTTTATGTTTTTTTATTGAAAGGTGTTTTAAAACAGAAATTAGGAGCTTTTCTGGAGGATTCTATGTAGTGGCCGAAAGGACAGTGGAGGTGTGATCCATGGAAGAGGAGGTCTGCCAAGGGAATGGGTGACCCAGACTCTGTTCTCTTCATGGGAAACGTCCTTCCAGGGAGGTCAGCCCCAAAGTCGCGTGGAACGATGTTGTGTGGAATCGAGCCGCCTCTGGTCCTCCCACAGCAGTGCACAGACACCTGTGCTCCTCAGAACGGTCGCACGCTGTGCACGCTGGAGCCAGGGCTTGGAGCGGGCAGCGCCTCGGCAGGAACAAAACCCAGGCCACCTGTCCCTTTCTTTAAGTTCTTCTTGGCTTATCCTCACGCTCAATAACTTAAACATGAACTTTCCTAATCCCTCAAGAGAGTTCTTTGAAAACATGAAAGGAACCTATATAACCATCGAGAGAGGACAGGGCTGGCCAAGGCAGTTTCTGTTGAGCTTTCTTGCTTTCAGATGTTACCTCCTTTCAACAGATGTCTCGGCACTGGGGGAGCCCAGCTCTGAGCTGATGCTCCTTTGTCTCCTTGACCCTCTGAGGTCTGCAGTAAGTGCCCTCCCGTTGTTTTTGCAGACACGTGTCCCCAACAAAAGCAGGTACAGCAGCAAACCAGGGATGAGTAAGTCTGCCCCGAAAGCTAACATCAGCTCAAAAGGCAAGCAAGCCGGAAGCCCATCCTAGGGTTTCAAGCCTCCTGGGTGAGAGCAGGGCTGCAGTGATGCACAGTTTGCCATGTGATGAGCTCCTGGGCCCCTGCCTGGCCAGCTTTGGAGTTCGGAAGACATATATGTTCAGAGGTGACCATGCTTAGAGTGGAGAGGCCCTGAGAGACCCACGTCCTTCCCTAGGCCCATCCACCTACCCATCTTGGTGCTTCACAGAAAGGGGCTCTGTGACCCCACAGGGCTGAATTTGAAAGAATTTGGAGGCCGATGGCATAGCTGACGGAGCTGCTTCGGGTAAGTGACACAAACTCTTGGAATTCTACTACCTTTGTTTCTGAAGTGGAAGTAACACAAACCCAGGGAAGCTGTACAGATTCAATGAGACGACTGGCCAGAAGGAGAGGTTCCTGTAGAAAGTCAGTGGTACTTGTGATGACAAAGAACTCCCTGAGTCCTACCCTCTCCGATGGCTGATCATCAGTCCCAATGTGAGCTCCCCTGGTCCGAGCTGCACGACAGCTCCCTGGAACAAAGACCTCATTTGCCAGCCTCTCCTGCAGGTCATGAGAACGTGTTCTGACCAGGGGGATGTACGTGGGAGAGTCAAGTGCAGCCTCCATTAGCAGAAGGAGGGGTCCTTCACCCCTTCCTCCGTCTCCTGGGCCGGAATCTAGACTTGATTAAGGCTGAAGCCTAAATGAGTCAAATCATCACATTTGCCCGTGACCCGAGGATAGACTGAAAATCCCAAACAATAGTGGTTTAAATACCACAGAAGTTTCTTTGCTTTCTGTAAATGAATCCAGAGGTAGGGAGTCCGGGGCTGGTGTGGTGGCTCTGTGAGGTCGTCAGGGACCCAGGCTCCTCTGTTTGGTTTTGGATTTCTGGTCTAATCCTAACTTCAGTATCACTCATGCCAATCCCACGTTGCTTTGTTCTGGTCTCACCGATCAGCACTTTCCCACCTTGATGGGAGCCATTCACGTGTGTGAGATCTCCTCATGGACGCCTCCCCCAACTCACAACGTCTTCTGTCACACTGTCCCCCACTGACCTGCCCCCCTGTTGTCTCTAGGAAGTCACCGCCCACCCTGAAGGGTGTCCTGGCTGGTTGGAGGAGCAAAGCTCTTCTGTGGATGCCCACCGCAAGGAGACCCGACAGTCACTGAATCTATTTGAACATCAAAGGAAGATTATGTTTATAAAAGAGAAAGTAAGTCCATCTCCGGGGTGTGGGGGGAGGCAACATTATTTGAAAAGCTTTAAACTGCAACATTTCAGAGACATTTTTAAAGATCCAGAAAGATCTGCTTGTAAACTTTTAGAAAGGACTTTTTTTCCCCTTTCAACAGAAGATTTATTTTAGTCTCTCATTTCCTGTTTCTCTCTGTTTATTTTATGATAAGGAATCCTGATAGGATGAGAGAAGCTCGTTCTGAACTAATTTTCTAAAGATTTTTGTTTCTGACAATGTTTTGTAACAAAAAGTCATTTTCTTGCCTTCTTCTATGACTCCTTTGAGGTGGCTTATTCTTTGGTAGGAGTCACATAGGTTTTTTGTTGTTTTTTTTAATCAGTTGTTGCTGGTTTGTTGAGTTTTTGTGTATGTGGTAAAATAATACATAAACTTTACCATTCTAACCATTTTTAAAGTGTACGCTTACTGGCATTCAGTATAGTCACGTGATTGTACAACCATCACCATCATCCATCTTGAGAACTTTTTCATTTTCCCAGAGTGAAAATAATACCATTAAATAATAGTTTCCCCCTCCTCCCTCCCCTTAGCCCTTGGCCACCCCTGTTCTACTTTCTGTCTCTATGAATTTGACTCCTCTAGGAACCTCATGTAAGTGGAATCATGCAGTATTTGTCCTTTTGTGTCTGGCTTATTTCACTTAGCATAATGCCTTCGAGGGTCATCCACAATGTAGCGTGTGTCAGAATTTCATTTCTTTGTAAGGCTGAATAATATTTTATGTATATACCGCAGTTCATTTGTCCATTCATCTGTGAGGAGCAGTTGGGTTGCTTCCACCTTCGGGCTGTTGTGAATAATGCTGCCGTGAACATAGGTGTACAGATACCTGTTTGACATCATGTTTTCACTTTCACTGGTTATATACCCAGGAGTGGAATTGCTGAATCATATGGTAATTCTATGTTTAATTTTTTTTGTGGCATCATCTTACTGTTAGGGATTGTTTCAGAGTTAGAGCAGGATGGTATTTTTTTTCAGTAGTGGGTAGAACAATGGTTTCAAAACTGGATTATGCATCAGAATCACCTGGGAACTCTGTGTTTTTGTTTTGGGGGAGGTAATTAAATTGCTTGATTGATTTATAATGGAGGTACTGGGGATTGAATTCAGGACCTCATGCATGCTAAGCTCACACCCTACCATTGAGTTATACCCTCCCCACTGAGAACTCTTAAATACGAATTCCTGAGTGCCCCACTCTCCAAGACTATTAAACAAGATTATCTAGGGGAGGATCCTGGAATCCGGAATTTAACAAGTTTCTGGTGACACTCATCTGTGGCACGGCCTTCGGGGCCAACAGGGTGAGTGGGAGGGCTCCAGCTACCCAGGGAATGTGCCCTCCACAGGGAGACGAGCTTTGTTAGGCACTTGGTCCCCCTCAACCTACATCTCCATGTAAGGTAGGAGCTTCTTGTTGGAAAGTGAAGGAGTAAGGAAAGCTATCTCAGCTTCCTCCTGAGGAACGAGAATAATAGCTCTCATTGTTCAGGGTTCCCAGCTGCTCAGTGACCTGGGTGTCCTTGTTAATCTCTCAGGAGGGGCAGGGAGTTTTTTAACGCACATTTCCTGAGACATTTTGTGATTGGCCCTGTTTTTCACTGTCCAGTGGCGAAGACTCCCATTTGACAGGGCCTTGAGTGATGCCTTCTCAGAGGCAGGTGGGTGGGCTTCCTTCCACCCAGCCTATGGGAGCCTCCAATGGGGATTCCTGGTTCAGTGGGTTGTGGCCAGGGTGTCAGGGTCACTTGGCACAAAGCCTGGCAACTCTGTGCAGGAAGGAACATCTGTTTGGCCTCTCTCCCAAAAGCATGTACTTCCAAGAATGTCCATAAAGGTCTGCAGATCCTCCAGGGCAGGCACCAGAATTTTTTTAAGTTAGGATTTAAAAAAAATTTTATAGTTTGGAATAAAGTCATTCGTATTGAGTTTAGAAAGTTTAGAAACTATAGGAAGATGGAGGAAGGGATGGAGGAAGAAAAATCACTCCTTATTCCCACTCCCCAGAGTCGACCATTTTTAGTGAATTTCCTTTTTGTC